CCTTCCTTCCTTCCTCCTTCCCTCCCTCCCTCTCTCTTCTTTCTTTTCTTTCATGTGTCTTGCCTGTATGTATGTAAGTGCACCTGTGTCATGGAATGCTCATGGAGGTCAGAAGAGGGCATCAGATCCCCCGGAACCAGAGTTACCAATGGTTGTTAGCACCATGTGGGTGCTGGGCGCCAAACCCAGGTCCTCTGCAAGAACATCTTAACCGCTGAGCCATTTCTCCAGTCCTGAGTCCAATCTTTTGAGGTTGCAGTGCGACATTGTCATCTACAAAGTTCATGCCTGAGAACTGCACAATGGAGTTCCCCAAAATAATGTAAAACAATCTCATAACGTTTTAAGTACACTTATGATTTTCTGTTAGGTCACATTCATGGCTATTCTCAGTCACATGGGGCTGGAGGAATAACTCAGTGGCACACTGATTTTTCTGATGCCTGACAATCCACTCTTTTTTTGTTTACTTGTTTTATTTGTTTTTGTCTTTTTGAGACAGTGTCTCCCTGTAGGCTCAGCTGGCCTGGAACTCTCTATGTAGACCAGGCTGGCCTCTATCTCGCAGAGATCCACCTGCCTCTGCCTCCCGAATGCTGGGATTAAAGGTGTGTGCCACCACATCCTTTGCATCTGGCTGATGCAAAGTGGAAGCAGCTACTCCTTAGGAGTGTGTGCATGCCATCACTGGGGGATAGAACTCAGTGGTAGAGCACTTGAGGTCCTAGGGTCAATCCCTGGTAGTGGCAGCACCATTCTCAGCACCACAAATGCAAAACAAACAAAAGCACCTTTACAAAATGTGCCTAAAGAAACAGAGAGCGTACCCACACATCTGAAGAATAAATGACTTCCTATGGCCACAGCCAGCTACAAAGCAACAGAAAACGAGGAAAGTTTGGGGCAAGAATAATTCCTCAGCAGTCTGTTCAGAGAGAGGATCAGGCTTCTTTTTAGCTCTGAGGAGTGTGGTTTTACTGAATATTTTATTTTAAAAGAGCAAACAATCAAAGCAAACATAAGCAGCTTAGTGTTCTTGAGATTTCAATCAGTTGTTACCTTGGACCATTTCCCAGAGGAAATTGTCAATACATCAACCCAAACCAAGGACAGGCTCATGCTGCTAACCCACTTTTTCTTCTGCTGAAACAGGCTCAAATCACCTCTTCTAACAGAGCCCTATTCCACTGAAATAATCCTCTTCCATTGCAATCACCTGTTCCACACCCACTTCCTGCTGGCTCCTGCTGAAGATCACACAGGCCCTCCGCATTCTAAAAAGCGACTTCCAGCTAACCAACCACGTTCTCTTAAGTCCTTTCTGCCTTGACTTTGTCTGCCGAATTCTTTCTGTTGCTTTTCCACTTCTCCATTTCTTTCGATCATTATGCTGCCTTACCGCCCACTCCACAAGCAAAGCTACCAGTCTGATGGACTCTGGACCATTTCTTTCTCTTCTTTCCTTTACTTCATAGAGTCAAGTTCCATCACCCCTATTTGAATGACCTCTCACATCCCCCATCACTACCCACCAGCCTCCACAATTGGTGCTTCATTCACTGCAACAACGTACTTGTTACTCTCTTTTAAGTACCTTTTTTGTACTGGGGTTGAACCCAGGGCCCATACTAGACATGCACATACTAGACAAGCACTCTACACTGAGCTACATTCCAAGCCCTCATTTACTTTTTATATTGAGATGGACCTCACTAAGCTGTTCATTTATTATTATTAATCATTATTATTTTTATTTGTCTGTGTATGACATGTGTATGTATGAATGCACATGCCATAGTGTGCATGTGGAGGTCAGAGACAACTTTGTGGAGTTGGTTCTTTTTTTCTAATTTTACTGGGATTTTAGATATTGAACTCAGGTCATGAGGCTTGCATTGTTGAGTAAAAATTTCCTTTACCTGCAGAGCTATCTCTCCAGTCCTCCAGGCTGGTCTTGAACTCAGTCTGTAGCCCAGGCAAACCTTGAACTTGTTGTCCTGCCTCAGCCTCCCCAGCAGCTGGAATTACAGACCTGCACCACCAGACCTGGTTCCTGCTGATCTTCTCCATCTTCCCCCTCCCGAGGCCACAAATGTCATAACCATAGGCCCTTGTTCTGGCTTTTGTGGCACAAAGAACATGTGCTTGCCCTCTGTTCTAGTTAGCTTTATATTATGGTGATAAAAAAACACTCTAACAAAAAACAACTTGGGTAAGAAAGGGTTTATCATATTTTATACTGCCAACTGACAGTCTATCTTCAAGAGAAGTCGCAGGAACTCAGGGCAAAAACCTGGAGGCAGAAACTGAAGCACACACCATGGAGGAATGGTATTTACTGACTTGCTCCTCTGGCCCATGTTCAGTCTGCTTTCTTATTCAACCCAGGACCACCTGCCCAGGGGCAGTACCACCTACAGTGGGCTGGGCCCTCCCACATCATTCAACACTCAAGAAAAGACCTCTCAGACATGCTCATAGGCCACTCCGATAGAGGAAATTCCTCAAGTGAGGTTCCCTCTTCCCAGGTGTATCGAGTTGACAACCCAAGGAACCTACGCTCTCCGTGACCTGGAACAGAGGTTTCCATGTACCTTTAAGACTTTGTCTCCAGCGCAAGTCTCCCAGAAAGCAGATCAGAGAAGACAAAGAGGCCTGGGCTCCAGGCTGGGCTCTGCTTCACAGCCTCAGGTCAACTGTCTTACACCCCCAGCTCCACTATGAAACGAGGGGTGCAGCATCAAAGAAGGCTTAAAGGGATTCTCCAATCACACCAACTCCAAGCCAGCCCGGCTTTCTTGTCTCTCCCTGTTCTGAGCTCCAGAGCCATAGGCAGCTCAGCATGAAACGGGTCTCCAACAGGAAACTCTGAAGGAAGGGAATTCCTACAAAATGCCTGCTGGGGCCTCCACACAGCCCACAGCCAGCACACAGGCCTTTTGCTCTATAGGAATCTTTGTTGTTCTTTGTATACTTTTGATAGATTCCTCCCAAGTCTCCCTCTTTCTTGATTTTTAAAAACCTGTTTTCCTGGTCCTGCTCCTAACTCTTGCTGAGACAGAAGCAGGGGAAACCAGAGTCAAAAGCCTTTTCCAGATCCCCGTACGTGAAGTGAGGGAAAGCCTGCTCTATTGTAATCTGCTCTCCCCACAGCTGCCTTCATAAGCTCTCCTGGAATGATGCAATTATCTTATGTATTTTGAAAAACATCCTTATTTCAAGATAAGGAAGCTGGGGGTTTTAGAAATGACACTTCTTAGAGGGTCAAGTTACAATGCTGGGCATGATGCCGGCTAGGGCAGAGATTTCAACACAGTCACTCCCTTGGAGATGGCCTCTATTTTGGTTTTTAGCTTACAGTTAATTGTTAGAAGGAAAAATGCTGCTGAGGAGTCATCTAGTGCCTTTATCATTCAGGTTACCATTAGACTTCAAAGCCAGGTGGCTGAGTGGGGGAGAAAGTCTTTCTACCTTTCTAGAGATGGTTTCTGAGAGCCCAGGCCCACACCAACCCTGTGTGGCCAGGCAGTTCATGGTCTGGCTTTGGGTTTTGCTCTTAAACTAAGAAAAGCCTGAAGGACTCCAGCAAACCAAGAAAGGAGATCACCTGATTCACTGGTTCCTGACAGAGTGACATGGGGTGCTGGAGTAAAAAGGAGGGGATAGGGTTCAAAGGCAGAGAAAGCAGATTGAACCACTTCTCTCTTTGGCTGAATGACTGACATGTATTAAGCCTTGTCAGGAAATCAAGCAGATTAATATCAGGGTATCCAGGAAGACAGCTTTTGCTGGCTTAGGAGAGAGAGAAGAGAAGCCAGCCACAACAGTGCCCTGTGTAGACATCTCCCATCTGCCCCTAGGGTCCTCAAACATCTGCACCAATATTTAGAAGTTGTTTTCAGACGAAGAATCTCTGTACTCTGCAGATTCAGATCTGCCTCACATGCCTCTCTTCCTGTAAGTTCTATGGTGCTCTCTGTAGCGATGAGTTCACCCCAGTTGTGTTCTCAAGGAATCTGTGACCAGCCTGCTCTCACTTGGAACAGTGGCAGTTCAAGTCAAATATGTTCCTTATTTTCAAAATCACTCATTCCAAAGCACCAATTCTGTGCTTAAAAATTTCACCAACCAATATTTGTTAAAATAGATGTAGACTCAGTGTACCACCAATATATAACATCTATTTCTGTATCTGAGCCAACTTACCTCCTTCAAAACAGCCTCCAAGAAAGTTCTTTATGACTCTTCTAACATCCCCTGTTATTCCCTGTCACTTTTACTAACGGGGATAAGTTAAGATCTAAGAAAACTAAGGCATTGGACCAGGTATGGTGAAGTACACTTCTAAGCCCAGCACTTGGGAAGTAAAGGCAGGACAATCAAGATTTCAAAGGTCATCCTCAGATACAAATATTAAGTTTGAGGCCAGCCTGGGCTACACAATGTCCTATCTTAAAAATCTAAAACAAGGAGGTGAGAGAGATGGCTCAGTGGTTAAGAGCACTGGCTATTCTTGCAGAGGACCCAGGTACAATTCCCAGCACCCACATGGCAGCTAATAACTGACCATAACTCCATTTCCAGGGGATCCATCACCCTTCTCTAACCTCCTTGAACACTGCAAGCATGTGGTGCACTTACATACATGCAGGTAAAACCCTCATAAACATAAAATAAAAATAAAAATGTTTTAAATCTATAACAAAAAGAACTAAGGCACTAGTGACAAAATCTAAATAAATCACACACCTGAGTTAGTCCACCATTAGCTAACAAACTCGCATAAATTAAAAATGTTTTATGTAATAAAAATATTTTCAAATTATGACAACTCCCAAACAGAGAAAAGTAATCCTACCTTAGGCAGACTAGAAATCTCTATTGATCACATTTGAGATGTGATGGTTCTCTTTATCAAAAGTTTGTTTCACACCATTCCTGAGCCCTGGGTCAGAGAAGGAAACACCCCCCCACACACACACCCCACCCACGATGCTCACCTGTCCTCAAAGCATACAGTGCACTTCCAGGTGTGGGTCCTGCGCAGGAACACACGGCACTCAGAGCACACACGGTGGCTGCAGCCCTGGCACACGGCCCCACGGTTCAGCAGCAGTCCCAGAGCCCGCTGGCAGCGTGCACAACACTTCTCCCGGTACTCCTGACTTGAACTCTTTGCCCCTTTCCACCTGAGATGCTGCAGGTGTGTTTTCAGTTTCCTGTGGCCCAAAGAGTTGAATAATGATTAGGTGGTGTGGTGGTTAGCTTTAATTATCAATTCATTACAACCTAGAATCACCTAGGAAGACAGTCTCAATGAGAGGTTGTCTGCATTGAGTTAGCCTGTGGGCATGTCTGTGGGGGGATTGTCTTAACAAGTTAATTGATGTGGGAAGTTCCAGCCCACTGTGGGCAGCATCATCCCCTAGGTAGGGGGTCCTAAGCCGTGTAAGAATAGAGAAACTAGGCTGATTAAGCAGCAAGCGAATGAGCGAGGAGCGAGCGAGCATGTATGCGCTTGCTTCTCTCTGCTCCTGATGATTAGCTGCGCTTGGAAGCTCCTGCTTGACGGACTTTGACCTGGAATTATAAGATGAAATAACTCTCCCTTTTCCCTCATTTGGTTTTTGTCAGGATGTTTTATCACAGCAACAGAAATGAAACTAGAGTAGGTAGGATGCTAGAGAGACTCCTCCACGTACTGCCCGGAAGGCCATGTGTGCTGGGCTCTCACCAGGGTTGTGAGGGTTACACAGCAAGGCAGAAGTAATGTGCCTGCCTCAGAGGTGTACCTTGTATCCTAAATTCATCCCTTCATCCCCAAGGACAACCAGAGAAGAGAAGACGCAGAAGAGAGTAAGCTTCCTAGCGTGCCCGACATGGAGCAGTCTATAAACATACATTCCTGTTAATGGTGTGAGGTACCCAGTAAAATTGTTTAACTGTTGCCATACTTTTGCTACTGGCTTTTTAATTAGTGTTCAGTGCCTGCCCAGCCTTTCACTCCTCCAGAGCCACAGTAAGAGGGACATGGAATTGATCCCTAAAAGGTGTCGTTAACAGATGTGTTTGTACTTTTAGAACAGTCGTCAACAAAATGTGTTTGTACTTTTAGAAGAGATGAACCAATACTAAGAACCTTAGTTACATCAGAAGTAGACTTTAAAATCCACCTGCAAGGATCAGCCTCAGAAGCAGCACCCTTTAGAACAGAACTTCCTGAACACAGTGCTGACTTAATATTCGAAATGCTGTCTCCAAATCACTGAAAGATCTTTAATCACCAAAGAAATTTCCATTTTCTCAGCATACTTCGAATGAATCCAAGTTTGCAGGTATACTTAAAGAGTTTTGAATTAAAGGAGAGTGGAAAAAGAACTTTCTACATTTAATCAGGCCATTTCCTTCACTCTTGAAGCATTTTATCTTATATGTGTAGTTTTTGTTGTTGTTGTTTCGAGGCTGGGTCTCACCCTGCAGCCCAGCTGGCCTGGAACTTGCTGTGTAGAGCAGAGATCCACCTGGTTCTGCCTCCCTAGCCTTAGTACTTCTCTTGACAGACTCTGAAGGACTTCTCTTAGTAATATAACTATTGTTGACTTGTTTCCCTTCTTGGTCCTGGGAACTGAATCCAGGGCTAAGCATATGCTCTATCATTGAGCTCTGCCTATCTTTTTTTTACTTCCTTTTCTTTCTTTCAGCCCATGTTAGTCTCAAACTCGCCTTGTAGCAGAAAGGCGACCTTGAACACCTGGTCCTCCTCCCTCTACCTGGATTACAGGTGTGTGTCCTCTTATGAATGTTAACAACAAGCAATCTATTTGCCAACAATGGGCAATTAGACACGGTATAGAACTGCCCATTGGTGCAACTTCATATGGTAGAGCTCCTGCAGCTCAGCCAGGCAGGGAAACAAACTCCCTGTTCACAAAGCGCTCAGGGAACAGGCTGGGCAGGTCTGCCCTCTGTGTGCCCTCTTCCTTCTAGCCAAATGGGAGGCAAAAGAGAACAAGGAGAAAAGACAGTAATGGATTCCGTCAGATTTGCTGTTTCTAAGCCGCCTTCCTGTGCCTTCGGGTACCAAGGAGAGCAAGGTTGGAAAACTTTTAACCCGAGCCTTTCCTTTCCGGGCCTCAAGCTTGACTCTGTTCTCCCAGCTAGCCCACAAAGTGGGCAAGCACAGAGCAAGCATCACAAAGGCACCTTTTAAACCGAACTGCGAAATAAATTTAGTTCAATTGCCAAAACATCCCCAGCAACACGCTTTCATCGGGACCCTTCTCAGCCAGAAGCCCAGCCCTGAGCTGGTAGTCACAAGGCAGCCGAGAAGTAATGGCTCCAGGCAGAAAAAGCCAAGGACCCCACAGGACTGGCCCAGGTCGAGGGACAGCTTACCGAATCCTTTCCTCCTCAATGCTTTGAACAGCCCGGTCTCGATACAGGACCTGGAGAATGACCTCGCGTTCCAACTCCTTGAGAGACTCCAGGTCTACTTCATCGGCCATTTCCTCTGTCTGTTCCTCCACCCACGCTGGAAGAGTTCCACCGTCCTGCTGATGATCCGAGTCCAGCTGCAGCCCGCTCCCTCGAGAGCCCCTCTCTGACTGCACCAGTGTCTGCGTTTTGCTTGTGGCTCTTTTTTCCTTCCTGTGTCCTACTCCTTTGGAGAGGAAAGTTCCACGAGGCTGTCCCACTGTTGGAGCCACTGGCACCGGGGGAGTGTTTTTACTGGGCTCTACCACAGCCTCTGACATCCGCCTCAGACAAGAGCATATCTTTCTCTGAGGTTCTGCCAGAGATTGTTACAAATGATGCATGGCTTCTGAGCAGATAATTTCTGCAAAGCAGAGATAATCCCCAACCCGAAGAAGTTTAGAAACAGGCATGAGAGGCTGCCAGTGGTTTATGGGAGATAACTTCCACTGAAAATGTGTCAGGAGAAATGGTATCCAGAAGTCCAATCTGCCCAGTGCCTTAGAACCTGCAGAAGGGACAGCGAAAAGGAAAAAGCAAAACCAGCATAAGTTTTTGTGACTTGATTATCTCTGCAACATTATTTCAGAAAACAGAAATCTTTACATTTACATTTACAGACACATCTTTACACTTTCTGCTATGATTTAAATGTTATTAGAGAAGACTTCTTATGGCCAAAACTTCTTAGACTTTCCAAACTTGTGTTTTCATAATAAGAGTTCCGGATCTTGCCAGATATGGCAGCGCACACCTTTAATGTTTGACCACATGTCATTTAAAGACAGGGTGAGTTCTGAGACACTCGTTGTTAACCATTTGTCATTTGGCAAACATCAGAGTTCACCAACTTAGTTACATAGACCTAGATGGTATAGCCTACTGTACGCCAGGCTATGTGGAATATATGTATGCTATAGCCCACTGCTTCTGGGGCCCTGATGACAAAACCACACAAGAGCAGATCAAGTAGGAGAGACAATAACATAACCCGGAGACAGTGAGGAGAGGGATAGAACTGGTGCAGCAGGGTACAGTACACTGCTGGACAATATTTTCTTTCTTTCAAAAATTAGAAGACAGCCAGGCATGGTGGCACACGCCTTCAATCCCAGCACTTGAGAGGCAGAGGCAGGTGGATCTCTGTGAGATCAAGGCCACCCTGGTGGTCTACATAGCGAATGCCAGGCTAGCTGGGGCTACAGGGAGACCCTGTCTCAAAAAGACCAAAAAAGACAAACATGTTAAAATAACAATTAAAAGCATGGGGGTTACAGAGATAGCTAAATTGGAAAAGTGCCTGCCTTGCAAGCAAGAGGACCTGAGTTTGATCCCCAGAACCCAAGTAAAAAAGCTGGGCATGGTGGCTTGCACTTGTAAATCCCAAGGCTGGGAAGGTGACTTGCTAGACAGCCAGCCGTCCTAACCAAAGAGGCTAGTTCCAGGCTAGTGAAAGACCTTGTCTTAAAAAAAAAAAAATGTGGGGGACTAGAGAGATGCCTCAGTGGTTAAGAGCACTGGCTGCTCTTGCACAGAACCTAGGTTCGGTTCCCAGCACCCACATGGCAACTAACAACCATCCACCGATTCTAGGGAATCCAACCCCTCTTCTGACCTCCTGGGGTACTGCATGATATGGTGCACTTACACACACACTCATACTCATAAAATAAAAATAACAAATTTTTTTAAAACGTGGATGATTTCTGAGAAATAGCAGTTGAGGTTCTCCTCTGACTTCTACACAGGAGCACACGTGCACACAGCACACACGTGTGCACACACACATATATACCCAGCCACACCAAAAATATTAAAAATTTTAAAAGTGGCGTGATGAGGCTGGAGAAGTAGCTCAGCAGGTTAAGAGTAAATTGTTGCTCTTCCAGAGGACTTGAGATCAGTTCCCAGCACCCAAATCAGTCAGCTCACAACTGTGTGTAACACCATCTCCAAGGGACCTGATGCCCTCTTCTGGCTCCAACAGACACTGTATTCATTTCACAAAGCCGCACAGGCACACTCTTATAGACACATCTTTTTTAGATGCTGTGGTAAATTTGCAAACCACGAACATAATCACTTATTATTATCAAGCGTCATGCACTGTATATGATCATATGTGCTATTCCAGCAGTGCAGTGCCTGCACCAGCACCACCATGAGCAAGGAGATAGGAACTTTCCAGCTCCATTATAATTTCACTAGACCACAGTATGGGCTTCATTGTTGACTGAAATATCATTATGGAGCACATGACTGACTGTATATCATCCTAATTAAAAATACATTAGAGAAAGGATGTTCTCAGCTGTTGGCTATTATTTTTACAAATAACATCAAAACAAAAAATTGTAATCAATTAGGGAAGTACAAAGTCACCACTACAACCTCAATCTGTCAATTATTCATGGCCTTTAATAGTTTTCATGAGCTTCCTCAAGCATCAGACCTTGTTTCTGTTTAATGCGAGTTGAAAGGTTTTGCAAATTCTGTCAAATGCTTTCTTTCACGTCACTTTTGTTTTGTCATCCAACCTAGGTGGATCCCTTAGTAATAAAATGTCCTTTATAAACTTTGGATGCCATACCCCTTTTGTGTTTAATTTTTTTGTTGTTGTTGTTGTTTTGTGTTTTTGAGACAGGGTCTCCCTATAGCCCCAGCTGGCCTGGAATTTGCTAGGTAGACTAGACTGGCCTCGATCTCACAGAGATCTGTCTGCCTCTGCCTCCCGAGTACTGGGACTAAAGGTATGTGCCACCATGCTCAGAACTACACCCTTTTTAAATTCATGAACAAGTTACTGCAGACCTCTTAGACATCATCCTCTTTAAGCAAATGCTTAGCCTTAAAAAAAAATCTTTGGTAGTCTAGTGTGGCGTATGTATGTCAATGTGTACAATAAGATACACTGGCTTCTAAAGGAAATTGATTATGCCAAAATCTTTTTTAAATTGTTACATAGTAGCATATATGTTCCTTGGAATGTGAAATAATGAGATCTGGAAGTTATGTAATGACTACCACAATCCCAAAGTGGTACTGGATATAAACAGTGTTCTGAGATATCTGTTCCACACAATATCATATGAAAATATCTGTGGGCCAGGTGTGGTGGTGCATGCCTTTAATCTCAGCTGAGGCTGAGGCAGGCGGATCTCTGTGAGTCCGAAGCCAGCCTGGTCTACCTAGTGAGTTCCGGACAACTGGGGCTACAAAGAGACTGCCTCAAAAAAAAAAAAAAAAAATATAAAAAAAAAAAAAAAAAAAAAAAAAAAAAAGACAAAAAAGAAAATACCTGTGATTTTTATTGGGTTCTAGGTCTGGCTAATTCTACCCTGGATTTTGTCTATAGTCATAATTTAAGGAAATGCTAAATTTTCATTAAAGGTTAATGAAAATAAAAATGTTATTTTCTTCAAATCCAAGTCTATGGGCCTGCAGACTAAGGACTGTTGGCTTACGAGATTCTGTATTTTCTGTATTTGTTGAGTCCTCTACTAGAAGATAAAGTTAAAATTGTTCATACTGATTGTGAAGGTTGCATGAATGGGAAAGCCTAGAGGTCTGAAAAGGGACCACTGGACCTCTAGTCCCCAGTCTGTACCCCCAAGCACCTGCTATGTAAAGGTGTCCTACCTATATCACTTTCCCCCTTAAGACAAGAACTCCTAGCCCAGCCGGCTAGCACTGCTGTCTGCCAGTGAAGCAAAGTCTTATGTCCTCTTGCTTCTATTTTCCAGATGGACAGGTGGAACTAACAGCTCTCAGCTGTAGAGCTCTAAGTCTCTGAGGAAAAGGAAACAACAGAAAACAGTGTGATGGGCTAGGGAGATGGCTCAGTTGGTAAAGTGCTCAGTACTTGCCTTGCAAACATGAGAACCTTAGCTTAGTCTCCAACATCCATGTAAAAAGCCTGGCATGGAGGCAAGCGTTTGTAATCTCAAGGCCTGGGAGGTTCCAGCCTAGCCCAATCAGCAAGACCCAGGCCTCAGAGAGAGATCCTGACTCAGAAACAACAGCTAAGAGCCAGGCAAGGTGGTGCACGCCTTTAATGCCAGCACTCAGGAGGCAAAGGCAGACTGACCTCTGTGAGAGTGAGGCCAGCCTGGTCTACATTCTGTGTTCCAGGCCAGTTGGGGCTACAGGGAGACCCTGTCTTAAAAAGACCAAAAAAAAAAGAAAAGAAAAGAAAAAAAAAAAAAAAAAAACCTAACACCACCACCACCACAACTGAGATTGACATCTGGCCTTCACACATATGCACACATCATGCACACATGCATAAGAAAATAGTGTGTGGAAGGGGTACCCCAATTGCTTCACCCTGCATCCCTGTTCAGCATGGAAGAAGCCAGAGCAGTCTGTGTCCGGATTCCCTATCTGCAAGTTGGGCAACCTTTTCAGAGAATGGTGTGATAAGAATAGGAGGTAGGGTCGGGTGTGATGGCGCACACCCTTAATCCAAGCACTTGGGAGGCAGAGGCAGGCGGATCTCTGTGAGTTCAAGGCCAGCCTGGTCTACATAGTGAGTTCCAGGATAGCTGGGGCTACAGGGAGACCCTCTCTCAAAAAGACCAAAAATAAAAAAATTAAATTAAATTAAAAAAAAAAAAAGAATAGAAGGTAGGAATTGGCCAGGCAGTTAGGGTTAAAAAGACCCCAAAGAAAAGTAGCCAGTTTCTTGGCTAAAACTCACAATGTCCTTCAACCTCTTAGCAACATACTCCGTTCCAAAGGCCAAAAACGTCAAAAGTATTTGGGCGCTTTTATCTAATCCTTAAAAGATTTTGGGGTTACCTCTTCAGAGGGGAATGTTAGAGTAGCAAAAAGCCCCATTTAAAAAAAAAGAAAAGAAAAGAAAGAGTACATGAAGTTACCAGGAGAACGTGATGAGGCGATGTGGGAGGAGCTGGAGGGAGTGGGCGTGGATTTGATCAAAGCACCTTGTATGCACGTATGAAATTCTCAATAAATTTTTTTTTTAAAGAAAGGAAGGAAGGAAGGAAGGAAGGAAAGAAGAGGAGAGAGAGAGAGAGAGAGAGAGAGAGAGAAAACGGTGTGTGACCAAGTGCTGAGGGAGGAGCAAGTTAGCCACAGTGTCACCATCGTTCCAAGCCCAGCCTCCAGAACGCGCTCCTCAGTTCTTCCTGTCTTATTTCTGTCTACTGAACATGCTGTTGGGTCATGCACGTCTGCT